GTAGTAGCAGTTGTTGTTGTCGTCGCAGGAGTCGAAGTCATAGTCGCAGCCGCAGTCTTAGTCGTCGTCGTAGTGGCAGTGGCTGTAGCGCTAGCGCTAGCAGTCGCAGTCGTAGTCGTAGGAGCAGTAATTATTTGTCGTCGTCGTCGTCTGGTGGTGGTGCTGGTGCTGGTGCTGGTGCTGGTGCTGGTGCTGGTGCTGGTGCTGGTGCTGGTGCTGGTGCTGGTGCTGGTGCTGGTGCTGGTGCTGTTGTTGTGGTTGCACGGAAGGAGACAGAAGATCGAAGCGCGAATTGGTATCAAAAGATCGCGGCTATGAGCTTTGGCTGGTGTTTCCACATCTCGGTCGACTGGTGGGTTGCTTCCAGCCTTCACATGGAGACCCGGCGTGATACACTTGATGTGCTGCCTTGGGGTCTTGCGTGCGGAAACTTTGTGTTTCCTAGATTCCCCATGGGCATATTCGGTTGTCACCCCCCGCCTTTCTGGACAAATTAGCTTTGCAGCTTTGTTTTGCAGTCGCCCAAATCCACGCGCCAATGAGCATATTTGCTATCTCTCAGAAAGGCTCCGTTACAACCCAAACTCAAATCCCCAAACCCACAGCTTTAAACCTATGCACAGGACTCAACAAAAACGACGCCCAGAGGCTTTCTTCACTAGCGTGCAAAGCATGCAGAGGAAGGTCGTGGCGTAAATTATTATTTCGGACGTACATTTGACCAGTCCAGCACATTTTCTTCACGCCGGGATAGGCTGCAAGGCCATCAAGTTTACCGAGAAGAACACACAGAGCATCACACAAAACGCATCGAGAGCACGACTGCGTTGGCACAAACGCGAGCAAGTTCTAGCAAAAACATATCCAGGGCATCGGGCGAGGGTGCAGGTGCGGTCTAAACCTTGCCTAAATCCCTTTTCCGAGACGCAAAACGCCCCTCACAGGCACCACTTCTCGTAGAAAGAAGTGAAATCTCGTTTCGACCTAGGCCGGACATGCCACAGGAAGCAAAGAAACGTTTGCGTGATGCACGTTAAATGTAGCTCAGGACAAATCCATGAAAGCCGTCGTCTCGGCCCTTGCCGGCACCTGCTTCGCCTTCTTGCTGATCTTCGGCCTAGACAAGGCAACTCGCAACGATTGAATTGCACAGGACTTGGTTAGATGTCGCGGGGGCTTTGAGACAGAGAGAGAGAGAGAGAGAGAGGGAGATAGCTCACAACCCTTCCGAAAGAAAGAGAGATAGAGATGAGAGCTTTGTGGGGATACTGTGGTTTTTCAATTTCTTCTTGGTGAAGGTTTGGTTTGCGCACGAGGAATTCGCAGCTTGAAGAGATCAACGCAGGGTAGTGTTGCGCAAGACCCTAGTCCTTGAGGGCTTGTAGATCCTGTCTGAATATCCAAGAAAGGGCCTCGGCCTTCAGTCCAGATCCCACAAGACTCTTTCACGGAAATCTCTGTGACCCGCCATTCGCAGCGTAAGGTTGCAGACATGAACGCGCACGACGTAGAAGTGGACTGTGCCCTCCGCACCATCATCACGGCCTTGGGAATGCTGGCGGCTTGGACCGCAGATTCGGTGCTTGATGACATTCTTAGGACAACACAAGAATCGTGATCCTTATGCTTGTCGCGGTCGCACCGATCGCTGACTTTCAGGCGTTTCAGTTGCAGGACACGCATCCTCGGGAGGGTTGAACCAGTTGAACGAGATGGAGCGGGATTCGAGGAGGTACTGTAAAAAGTACGGACGGGTAGCTAGCAGGAGCAAGCGCATCAGCAAGCGTCGTGGAGCAGATGAGACAAGAGAACAGCAAAGAGAGCGTCAAATGCGCCCCGGGCAACCATGCCTGGCGCGTAACTAAAAAGTTCATTGAGAGCATTCCAGACCCTCTGCAAGGGACGAGGCAAGGCTGACAATGCGAGACTGGCTGAGAGTGTGATACAAGCCATGACTGAAGCCCATAAGCAAAGCTTTGCCATCGCTTCGAACCGACTCATTTTCACGAAAGAGCTTGAACAATGCTGGCCATGGCGACATACTGTAGACTGACAGCCTACACCTATTCCACGCGGATCTTCGTGAGCATTGGGGAAGACTCAGCCAAGCTGAATGAGAAGCGCATGCTGACAGCAAGCTGAGCCAATCGCCGTTGCGGTAAGCAGTGGTAGGAGGGGATTCGACGCGCGCAACGACTTGCCAAGAGAGACGAACCGTCACCTGCATCGAGGAAACGAAGCGGTCAACCGTCAGAAGCAGAAGGTGGAGCATCTGCTACAAGCGATCGAAGAGCGGGTACATGTAGTCAGCTATGAGAGGAGAAAGATGCACCGATCCTAGACGAGATCGATACGGTAGCACAGTAGGCCGAAGCCTGGAACACAATCAGTTGATCCAATCGAGGTCCGCATGGTTTAGTGATTATCTGGGGTACCGACAGGCAAGGCAGGCTGCACGACAGGGTGCACTAAGAGATCCGATGGATGATTCATTCATGGCGCGAGGAAGAGTCAGAGGAGGAAGAGAAGGAGTACGGGAGGAGGAAATTTGAAGAAGACCGGCTGACGGACCACAGGCAAAACGATCAGGAATGTAAAGATCCACCGCCATGCAAACCCACGCTTCACCACTCGGACTATGACATGTTTGTGATGCTCTTGCTGTGCGTGGGCTGCGAATTGCATCATGGTAACTATAGTAATACTGTGTTACACTAGCTCCTTTGTATCGAATGGTTGATGGTGGTGATTCAAGTGATGATGATCTGGATCCTGGGCTATATCCTGCAGGACACTCAAACCATTGGAGCTTTTGGATGCGAATCGTGCCTTCCAAAAAGCACCAATAGCATTAACATAATATAATATGGTATAAAAACAAGGTAATATAATGTGAGTGATGTGCTAGTCTTTTAACATAAAGTAAGCTAATGTACCATGAAATACTTTGATTTGAGCTCATATCATATCATATCATATCATACAATGATAGAAATATAACATAAGCAGCTAGGTTAACGTCGGTATGATTTTGAACATTTTATGGTTCTTCTTGTGAAGGTACTGTTCTTGTTGTGAAGGTTGGCATCTCCTGGGAACGCTGCTTCGATGCAGCGGTTGCTGGAGTAGCAGAGAAGCATGTGGGCCGTTTGCCGCCACCTGTGATGCATCTTGCCTGCAGGTGTTGCAGGGGCATGATTCCCCGAAATGCAGCATGGATCTTTAGTGATGTCCCAGATAGTAGTCGTAGGGGAGCCCCTTCTACTTCTATGTGAAGTGAATCTGGGGGAGTGCACGTGCAGATTTTTCTAGGTTGCAAAATTAAAGTATGCTGTTTTGGTTCTTTGAATTTAGTTTTACTTTAGGCGGGTTGAAGTCTCGCAATATTTCAGCACGCTGTAGCATGCAGCAGAACGAAATGATGAACCGATCGTCCCAGCACCCCAAGTGCAACCAACCGAACGGACTTCAAACTTAGCTAAAGGCGGTTAGTGGAAATCCACTGCTCCTTCAGTTTCGGGCAACTGTTGATAAGGGCTGGGAAATCATGTGCAGACCAAACTCTGCAGTTTCGGTCCGTGGGCAGTTTCCCCAAACTTGAACGAATATAATTATAATATAATATAATATAATATAATATAATATAATATCATATAATATCATATAATATAATATAATATAATATAATATAATATAATATAATATATTATATTATATTATAATATATGATATTACGTTTGATTATGCTGACGGTGCAGCAAGCGCGTGCCTGGCCCAGGAACCTCCTTCTGGCAATATTGCTGGCTGCCATGGTGCCATGTAAGCAGTCAGCTGAATCAGACCATGCTCCCTATCTCATGCTAGGATTGACGCCGTCATGAAAGTGTGTTTGTTCATTTTTAAATCTAAGTTCAGCCGCCAGTCCATGGCAGTAGAACCGGACTTCAACTTGGCATGAATATATATATATACATATACATACATACCTTTGTACATGTATAGTAGGTGCATACATGTTTTTTGGTATCCGTTTGTTTGTCTATGTCAAGTTTTATATGTTCAGTAAGAATCCTTGCATGGATAGCACTAAACTTCCCAGGTGCTTCCTGCGTGGAAGTGGTATATCCATCCAAAACTCCACAAGGAGCACCACCAGGCGCAAGGATTGAAGAAAGTCGAAGTTGAAGAGAAGGCTCAGCCCAAGTATCGTAGCAATTTGTTTTGAGGCACATGGAATGAGGATCCCTCAGAGGGGTTGTACATCAACACAGCACATACTAAGGTCACAGTACACTCTCCATTAGTGGCCGTGCTCAGCCTCAGCCTAAACATGCAGGGTCGTAGCTTCAAGCCTTGTGCATCGGGCCGGGCATCGGAGTACTCACGTGGAACACATAATCAGCGTGCCCTCCAGGAGGGCGAGGATGTCGAGTCCGACTTGGGAGAAGCCACACGGCTTTTCGGGAGGCTTGGAGACTCTAGGATCCGAAATCGCAGACGTTTTGATCTTGTTTTTTTCTCTTTCGGGGCAACACACCGCCCAGGTTTGGGGGGGTTTGGTTGAGCAGAGAGATGTATTTCAATAAAGGGGCTCCTGGTATGCACAAGTGGGAGCAAGGCACGCAACAGTTAGAGTTTGCCCATCCAAGGATTCGCATCCCATCATGTGCAGGGCAGGGAAGGCGGATGTGTGTGACGTGGCCCCTTTGTCCTGCCGCCCTGGGCAAGAACAGGACGACTCAAGGAATCTCTCCAAGAAGCAGCAAAAAAACGTGTCAGCGGGATACATGCATTGAAAACCTCTAGGTTTTAAGTGCCCTTTTCTACGCTAAATTGCGCGCTCGGTCTGGCCTAAAACCGTGAAAGTGGTTTGTGCTGATCAACTCAGGAAGACGCGAGAGGCTTCAGAACATGAGAAGTGCATAGAAGAAGTATCGGGCAATCTCAAGGAAGCACCCGTGGACACCTGCATGCCCTCTGCAGACGAAGTTGCTGGGCTCTTGCTCAGGAGCTCAATTTTAAGTTGCCATGATAGGGATCTATGGTGAATAAACTAGTATAGTTTCCGTAGGATGGTAACGTAGATCAAACTCCTTTAGCGAGCGCCCAGGTTGGTTTGGAGGCAAGGGATCTCCAGTCCCAGAAGCCTCTGAGCCATGGTCAGACATCTTATGTGTTGGGGTTTAGGGTTTAGGGTTTAGGGTTTAGGGTTTGGGTTTAGGGTTTAGGGTTTGGGTTTAGGGTTTAGGGTTTAGCAATTCTGATTCTAGGGTAGGCGGCCGTTGGAGGCTTTGGAGATCGATCAGCAATGCTTAAAACACAGCAGCAAGACAATGCCGGCAAGTCCAGCAACGTAACTGTTAGTCTACCCGTGCGCCAGAAAACAGAAGCGACATCCCAGGCTTTCTTCGACGACCGGCGAAGCGTGCCCCCTGGGGAGACTCGGCTACAACTGGGAAGTTCGGGACTTTGCGGTTTCTGTGGCCCCTTCTGTTTCCTGCTAGTGCTCGCACAAGCACTCAACTCTCACAAATTTGAACTGCGCCTACTGGCAAACTTTCTGCGCCGAGAGTGTCTTGGGGACCGGGTTTTCAGCCGGCTTGCCTTTCGGCCATCCCCCCCAAGCGAGATAACCACGTTGATTATGCCCACCCTGCCCTCCAAGCATGGTCTCATGTTGCTCGCCCGCTGGCCACGCACTGCACTGCCTGAACAATGAACCACAGGAGGGCGGGGGAGGGTGTCCGGCGCAGATCTCGAAGAGTGGACTGGAAGAGTACTGTACAATTGGGATTCCTCTGAGCACCCTCGGCCACGCGGAGGCAAATTCCAAGTCTTGCGAAATCGCGTATTTAGCTTTTTGACATTGTGGCGTTTCATTATTCCGTGCAATTCTTGGGCACATTCAGCTGGAATAGTGCCCATGCAGAGCCTAGGAAGGAAGTCTACCTGCTTCCAGATGATCTGGATGACCTGGACGTCGTCTCCTTGGGCATGCCCAATCGTCTTTGTTCCACTCCCATATTTGGGAAGTGCACATCCACGCTGGTCTCGATCTAGGGGGGTTGAATTCGTGAAATTTTGAATCCGCAACTTGGGGCCATTCCATACTGGCCTGAGATTAGTACCGTCAATACTCCAGACTGTTGGGGGCATTTAAACAAAGACGCCCCGAGCTTGCGCTCCCCAACTGCGCAGCCCTTGGGCGAGCCAGTTGAATATGCTTTGACATAGTGACCTACGGGAGGCGCACAAAGCGTCTGACCCGAAGCTCAAGTTTTCCAACGCGGCTTTGCAGGCGGGTTTCTTTCTTGCCCGCGCACACGGCCCTAGAACCTGCATTTAGATTGAGCCACTCACTTCATGTTCGAGGAGAGTTAGAGCTTTTGAGACTAGATAAAGCGGCCCCAAGCAGGAATATGCAGCTTCCGAAGCAAAGCCATGCAAAAAGACATGGCCCAGGGTTTCCTGGATGGGAGCCTCCAAAAGGCACTCTCGGCGAGGAATCTCGAGCCTACTCCACTAATGTGGGACAACGCGAGGACAGCCATTTTGAAAAAGCCCATGAGACTATGAAACAACGAAGGAGGTGTATGAAGAAACTGGGGGTACAGCACCTCCTGCATTTGGCTACCCTTTCGCCAACATCCTTGCACGCCGTGAAGGTTTTGGTAGTTTGGGAGTTGAAGCTTGCTGGGCCAGGCCCTTTCCAAAAGGAGCTGAAGTTCAATAGGATTTGGGCGTGCGCAGCGTTGTCGTAAAGGCCTGTGGGTCATTGTGCGCCCCGTCTTCCAAGGGTCCTTTGGTCCTGCTTTCGGGTGTTTGTGGGGTTTCAGGGTTTCCAGCGGTGCTGGGATTGCTAAGCAATTCCCAGCTGCAAAAAGAGCTGGCCATGTTGACAACATCTCGCCGCCTCTGGCTCCTCAACACCCCAAACCCCTGAAACCGCTGCCCGCATTCGTTAGATGGCTTCACCTTTGTGTGTTTGTTGGTGCAGGCTTCTGTGGCGTAGCGAACCCTGCTGGAAGGCGGGAACTGGGTCGGCTTCTTTCGACAGGACGAGCTACAACAAGCCATTCCGAACATGTGCAGCAGCTGAGTTCAGTCATACAGTTATTCTCCAGATACTGTAAACACGTTACTTTGCATGCCGACGGCTTGGAGAAACCCTTCAAAGTTGTGAACTTCGGGGTCTGTTGGTGCGCTGGCGCTACTGATACTGGCACTAGATTCTCAAACTTGTCATATGTGAACATATCTGAACATGTACCGACCATCGGCATCACATGCGTTTTGGCCCAAGCAGCAGCAAGTTGTACAGTTACGCATAGTTACGCTGCTGTGTAGGCCTAGCATACTGACGACCCGTGTTGGAATTTCGTTTTGCTGTCGCATCGAACCCGAAGAGGTCTTGAGAAGCTGCTCTTCAGTCGCAGGGCGCATCGAACACCTTGCCCAGAGTAGCCAGATCCCCTCGGGTATGGCTGGCCCTGACAGCAAAAGCACGGGCGCTGAGGCAGTCATTTCCAGCTCCTCAAGCTCTTCAAGCCAAGAAGTAACGACAGACATCCTAACACAAAGTAGCCTATTTCGGCCTGATCTGATGCGAGGTGTTTCCTTGCGAAGCACGTTGAAGCGGGGGGGTTGGCTCTGGCTGTACAGCCCGTCGGTCCTCAGCATTGAGAAGCGAGCGCAAGTGTTTGCTTCTTCCAAGCCCACGGAACGATTTGACAAGTTCTTGTCGCACACATGGTGGACGCATGGGAAGTGGAAGATGCTGTCTCTACTGATCCACTTTGGTTGGCCAACTATGTTGACTGCATGGGCTCTTGGGATAACTCTCTCCTTCGCACTCAGCTTGATTGGCGTTTTGCCGGCATGCACGAGCTTTGAGGTCCACGCCATCGGCTTTCATGGCGAAGTTCCGTATGGATGTTGGATCCTTCTGACCGGCCTGCTGGCCCCCATTGCAGGGTTGATGGCCTTTCCATATCTCCCGTGCCTTCATGGATCAGACACGTGCTTTCTGGATTTCGTGTGCATCAATCAGACAGACAGTGTCGAAATGCAACAGGGCATCCGATGCATCGGACATTTCTTGGCAGCTTCAGCGGAATTGCGGGTGCTTTGGAGTGCGCCGTACCTTTCGAGGTTGTGACTTGCTGCATGTTGAACATTCTATCCAGTTTCGCAGTTGTAGACATTGTAGACATCTCAGCTAGCAGCGCGTGCCTTTGTTTCTGCATGTCTGTCCTTCAGGATGCAATTAATATTCGGGTGCTGCCTGACGCCCAAGACATGGCCAAGCCAGGTTTGCTGCCCCATTTTGATGGTTCTCAATAGCCTAAAACCACAACACTTCAAAGACTATCCCTCAACCCCTATAGAACCCCGAAAGAGCCCTTGAAGTAGCCCTATGAGTCGGATAGGTCCCTGAAAGGAACCCGAACTCCAAACCCTATTAAACATCGCCCTGTCGGTCTGGTGCCGACCTAGGTGGTGCGTCTTTGAGCTTGCGGCCTACCGAAAGATGAACCCATCCGGAAAAATTGTCATCGCACCAATTGCCAACGAGTTGTTGGCATGCAGAGGCTTTTTGTGGGTGAATGTATTTACTTTTGTGTTTTGGTTTTCCAGGAGAGGTCAAGAAGGTGGTGATGCCGTGCGCCTCCTGGCTGTGTTTGTGTGTGTTTTTGCTGTTATGTTCCCGTCCCTGGCACATGTGGCGTGGAAGCAGAAGCTGGACCGTGACAAATTGGAGTCTGACTTGGCCACGTTTGATGTTATGAATGTGGAGTGTAGCAACGATTTTGATAGACAGTGCATACACGAAGCCATCATCCAGTGGTATGGCAGTTTGGCAGCCTTTTCCGAACATGTGCAGGGGCCATTCCGCCAGGAGGTTGTGAGGCTGATGCGGGCCGGTGGCAGCGTGCCTGTTGCCTACGTGTGGTTGAGCTTGAGTCCGATATTCTGTCTGAGTCTGGAGGGCTTCGTAGCCTTGTGGAGAGCCAACGCTCCAATGGAAAGTGTGCTTGGTTTCGCTGCTAGTCATCTGTTGGCCCATGACATTCTGTGGCTTCCTTCCGTCGTGATTCTGTACCACTTCACAACCAGGCGTGACTTGCGCTGTTGGACGTGTGGGTGCAAGTGTTTGGCTCTGGAGATCTCTATGGGAGCTATATCATTTTGTGTTTTGTTCACCGGAGGAAGCATGGTTACCGTTTTAGTCGCCTCCCGAAACTTTGGGTGGGTGCTTGCATGGATCGCAGCAGCATCGGTATTCGCGGGCGTTTCTTGGGGTTACTGCTGGCGAATCTAGCGGCAGACAAGATCCCCGATCCCCGACCCGGCCGCGTGAATTCAGGTTCATGCACCCTCCAACGGATATTTGTGCAGCCCCTGCAAAAGGAAGTACCCTTGACATGGAACGACGGATCACAATTCCTTTGGAGGCAATTATTTAAGGCCCGAAAAAAGGTGCCGAGACGAGCGTTTGAAGATCCAGCACTTGGAGCCAACGCTTTCAAGCGCACAGGACTTCGTCCTTGTGCAGCCCAGGGCAGCTGTAGACTGACCGCAGGGTTGCTCAAAGACGGCGTTGCTTGAGCAAGGCAAGGCAAAAGCCGCGCCTTGTCGCTTAAAGCCTTGTTTTCTTATGGTGCAGCTGTCCAGCAAAGACGTGCCTTGCGCAACTGCGGGGCCGGAGGTTACATGGTCACATACGGTAGAGGTGTCCACTTAACAGCTGCACCTGCCACCTTTTTGGGAGTTTCCGACAACAGGGCATCCAAGTCAAGAGCGCGAAAAATGAACACATAGACTCATAGAATCCTTGGTAAAAAGGGACCCCCAAAGCCCCAGAGAGGCTGATGCCGGCATGGGTGGGTCAGCCCTGACTGACACACGCAAATTGTGAGTGGCTGACAATGATGCGCGATTAGGGCCTATAGGGCCTATGGGCCCCAAAAGTGATTAAACACTAAACCCTTCTCGGAAGCCTTGCCTGCCTTGTGGGAAAGTCGAAACCCGAATAAACCCTTCAAGCTTCAACCTCACATAAACGCTCAATCTATCCGCATCGCTTTCAGTCCAGGTCTGACCCCTGCAATCGTGTGTCAGAGGGCGTGCGGATGCCCGGAGGGTTGAAGCCGGTTGTGTTTGTGTGTTTGTCTTGTGTGTGCGTGTGTGTGTACTTGGGGGATCGTGGAGGGCTGCCAGGTTGTTGGTAGCCTTTCAGGTTCGATTTGGCGGGGCTGATTATCGGTTTGGGGTTGCTCATGGCAGTGTTAGAGCGTTAATTGGAGGACGAGGATATCTGATTTTTCTGCGAAGTGTGAGGATCAGGCTCAAAGCTCCCCCAGCTGAAGCCCAATCTACACGGCCACCGTCGTGCCATGATGTGGAAGACCTTCCTTATGCTCCTCTGCTCCGCAGCGGCTGACGAGTTCCTAAGCCTCAAGCGTGGCATCTCGGCCAGATGCCTCCTCCAAGGTTGGGCTGACGATGCGTGCCTTGGCCTTTTGCGTCACTTATCGGCTCCATGTGTGCCTTTTTGACGATCCTCAGAAGCATCCCCAAGGATATATCCCACACGGACTTTACGAAGAGCATCCTAACCTGCCCCTGCGTCATTGCTCTTGCTTTCTAGAAGACATTCTCCGAATTCCTATGTGTTGTCCATGCGTCCCACTGGCCAACAATGGCCAACGCTTATGCAGTTGCACGCTTTTGGACCAGGCAAGAAAGCGACATTGTGAAGGCAGCCCAGGACTGCTTCACGCGGAACGAAGTGCAAACGAGCAACCTCGGCGAGCTGCGACTTGGCATAGTTCCAGTATACTCCAGTATACTCCAGTGCTGAGGTTTCTGGCTTTCCCTGCTCCCAGCCCCACACGCAATTCCGACCAGACCGACCCAAGGAAAACCTGAACTCGAGAAGCCCAAACCAAAAGTCAGTGCTTTCTGTTGAACCCGAGGCAAGGGACCTTGGGGGTTGCCACTGGTTGTGTGGCGAGCAACTTGGACGCTAAGTGGGGATGGCGTCCGGAACTTGCCGGCTCGGGCTCCAACACTGGTGGCCCCTACGACGTCTACGGCGAGGGGCTGACCCTGGTGGGTGTGGAGACTCCCTCCGGTAGCTGGCAGTTCATGCTAAGGAAGCCTTCGGCTTCGCAAGGGGGTGCCTCGCACGTGGCCGTGACGGTGCACAGCTACCACCGCGGCGATGCCACCCCCCAGCAGGAAACGGATCTCATCCACTTCGCCGACTCCTGCTTCAGCAAGGAGGATGTCGACACCTCCAACCTTGGCAGCTTGCAGTTCTCCCTGCTCAAAAATGTGGACTGCGTGCTTCAGAAATGCTTGGAGGCTTGGGGCTTCAAGCCTGAGTTCGCAGACTCTGGCTCAGACAACGGCGGCCCGTACGACGCGTACGGCCTCGGGGCCACGGTGATCGGGGTAGAGTCCCCTTCGGGCAAGTGGGAGTTCGTGCTGAGGCTGAAGAATTGAAAGTAGTCCATGCTTGGCAGCGATGGTCACTCCGTGCACACACAGCTTTTGTTCGAGCTGGGATCATACCCAGTCCGATGTACAGGTGTATGCGCTTCGCAAAGCCAATCCTCATGTCGCATGCGCTGCCATGCCTTTTGGACCCTTCCGGTCACCTTAAAAAAAATCGGTAGAAGCAGCCTCAGAAGTATGCTGCAGGAATCATTGAACTTTTCAGCTCCGATCTGGAAAATGGGCAGTCGCTCCGTGCCTTTATACTCCTTGTAACTTACCGGCTGTCCAGTTGCATGTCTGAGGCAATACCCTGCAGAAGTGAGCTCCAAGTTCCTTCGTGCTGCAATGGTCGCCAAGTGCCCCTAAGGGATCACATGCCCCTCCTGCGACCAGTAGTCTGCATGCTGGCGTCGGTCCAGCGCAATCAGATCAGCAAACTTGATGAGCCAGACGTGCGTCAGTTGCGCGCTTCTTCCGAACTTCGGACATTTGCATGGAGCAGCGCAGGAAGCAGTAGGCCGATAAATGTGGCCAAGTCTCCTTTGCCGACTCCGTACTGCGAGTCTGCGAGCACCGGAAGGCAAAGCTCGACAGTGTGCCCGTCAGAGACAGTGGTGTTTTTTTCCTTCGGCTTTTTTGTGAAATCGCTCCAAAGGGGGGGGTTGGCTAGGGGGGGGTACAGGGCAGCAACATGAATGCACCAGGGTCAGT